TTCATTAAGTTCAGCAGCTGGGGATTCAGTATGGCGTTGATCTGCTCCTGTGACCAGGTGGCGGGGTTGAGTGGACCAGCGATAGGAATGTCCGGAACGAAGGGGGGGAGTAAAGAGCCGGTCGGGAGTTCAATTTCGCGGAAGCCGTGCACCGGCGGAGCCGGGAATCCAGCCGCCTGCATCCTCCTTGCAAATGTTTGCATGGACGGTGTTATGTTCCGGGTGAACTCACGTGTTTGTCCTTGAACCTCGCTCCAAAAATCGGTCAGCGCAGATTTTGCTTCCATGGGGTTCAAGATGCCAAGAAAGGAGCTCAGCGACGCCTGGGATTGACTGTCTTCGCTGTCTGGTGGTTGGCTGCCTTGGCTGTCTGCGTTTTCGCCATCTGCGTTTTCGAATAAGTCAATCAACTGGGTGGCCCCGGCGTCGTTAGAGACCTCGGATCGGTTTCTCTGGCTGATGTTGTATTCCCTGTCGCCGACGGGCCCTTCAGAGGCAGCCGCCACTCCAAGCAAGACGAGCAGTGTAAGCTTCAGGCTCCTCATATCCGTTCAAAGTGTGCTATCGCGCGCGCGTGTTTGTACGATACCGGTGAACGAAGGTCCGTAGTTGGATCATGAATTGGAAGCCCGCCCCACAAACACAGAAATAGGCCCAATCAGGGTAAAAGGATTGTGTTGCCAGACATACAGCCGTTCCTAGATGGGCGCTTGGTGAAAGGATTTTTCTCTAAGGCAGTACAGAGCTGGTTACAAAAATTATATTGCTGCTGTGGCTCGGATCAGGATCAGCAATCTGACTAGTAGGTCTATCAAAGAGAGGCCGGGTTGAAAACATGACTAGGCTGCGGACTCTCCAGCAGGAGAAGCCAGCCTGGCAGCACGGTCGAGGATTCCTCTAACAATGCCTCCAGCACCGGAGCCATTGGCTATGGAGAAGACTGGCTCCAACAATCCTTGGCCGAGGCCCTGACCAATATTTTGGACGAGCCCGCTACCTCCTTCTGCGGTCTGCAGCAAAGGATTGTTAAAGATCCCACCAAAGGCACCACCGAGAGGTCCGCCAAAAGCACCACCGAAAGGTCCACCACCCATTCCGGCATTAGTCAGCAAGGCCTGGATCGGACCGGCGGGAGGAGAAGCCGGGCTAGCAGAAGCGGTCGAAGCAGTTCCGAATAGTCCGCCTGAAGAAGTAGGGGCGGCAGAAGCAGGTGCGGCCGCAGCAGCAGAACTGGTAGAAACAGGGGCAAATAGTGGCCGCATTCCACTGGCGGCACTTCCTGTGACGATGTCATTCAAACGATCAAAAGAGTTCTGGAGGATGTCTCCAGCAACGGAAAGCTGTCGCTTGTTCTCGTAGGCGTTGGCTGGATTGAAAATGCCCAACCCAGGGAGGTCCATATGGCTTGGAACCTCTCCCGGGATTCGCTCGTACTTGATGAAGCTTGGAAAGGACTGTGGCAACAAGCCAGCAGCGGAGGCTGCCAGATTCATAGTCCCGCTGGCCTCCGCGGAAGCTACCGCTCCGGCCCAGGGGAACTCGACGTTGACAGGCGGGATGGCGATGGAGAAACGTCCAAGGCCTGGGATCTCGGCGACCGTGTTGGCAGCTGTGTTTGGGCTCATCACGTTCAGCAGCTGGGGATTCAGTATGGCGTTGATCTGCTCCTGTGACCAGCTGGCTGGGTTGAGTGGACCAGCGATAGGAATGTCCGGAACGAAGGGCGGGAGGAAAGAGCCGGCCGGGATTTCAATTTCGCGGAAGCCGTGCACCAGCGGAGCCGGGAATCCAGCCGCCTGCATCCTCCTTGCAAATGTTTG